TAGTTAGTAGTTAGTTAGTTAGTTAGTTAGTTAGTTAGTTAGTTAGTTAGTTAGTTAGTTAGTTAGTTAGTTAGTTAGTTAGTTAGTTAGTTAGTTAGTTAGTTAGTTAGTTAGTTAGTTAGTTAGTTAGTTAGTTAGTTAGTTAGTTAGTTAGTTAGTTAGTTAGTTAGTTAGTTAGTTAGTTAGTTAGTTAGTTAGTTAGTTAGTTAGTTAGTTAGTTAGTTAGTTAGTTAGTTAGTTAGTTAGTTAGTTAGTTAGTTAGTTAGTTAGTTAGTTAGTTAGTTAGTTAGTTAGTTAGTTAGTTAGTTAGTTAGTACAAAAGGCGGACGATTTATTTTAACTTCATCCTAGGCCACTATTGGGCCTGTTATGAACTCCATTACCAGAGTCTTTGCATATTATCGAACCCCAGCTATCCTACATTTTGGAAGGCAATGGTGCGTAGGATCAACTTTGGTCCAATCAGCTTCTCCTTTGCACAGTTCTCCGCTCCTATTACATTCTTTCAACTTCAGTTTCCTCTCTCACTTACAAATCATATTTTTACGTTTAAACTAATTATTGCCCCTTTATAGCAAATACCAAATTATCATTTACAAAAAAAAACAAAAAAAAAATACCTTAACAAACCAATTCTTACGGCAATTTGATCTTAGCCTCTAAGGAATATAATTTATAACATCTTGGCAACTCTGCTAAGTGTACCAAACAATATGTTGTGCCTTATGTGGAATATATGTATGTTATGGATACATGAAATGGCAACAAAATAAAAAAAAAACTAAAGAACCAACAATCAAAAATAGAATAGAACTTGGCAAGAAGGTATGAACAACAACAACAACAACTAAAAATGAAGCTATATAATTCGTAAGTCATAAAGTTAACACATACAAACACTCTGACATTTTTAAGGTTGTAGCTAGTTGTTGCAACAACTACCTGATATCATATGAAAGATCATGATGATGTTTATTGTTATAATAATTATGATGATAGTAGTAGGAGCTATTGTTGTGTGAACTATGATAAACATAATTCCCTAGATAGTATTTATTAATACTAGAATAAAGTTAGTTTCCGTTCTCATTTCTAGTTTATTTATGGATAGTGGTGAGGTGGGATTAAATAGTACTAATTTTGGTACATTTTCTATGAGAAAAGTACTTAAATGGTACAAATGAATTTCTCTTTAAAAATTCTTCAATATTTGTGGTCAAATTTTAACAATTATTTAATAGGATAACTTTTTAAGGAGTTAACACTTTCTAACTAAATTCCGAAATTTATTGACTGAATTACCTTTAAAAATTTTGAAGACTCGTTATGAAACAATTTTCAAGGTTCTTTCTACTTTTATTGCTCTTTTTTTTCTTGCAAACTGTTGTAGCTTTTCATTTTCATCTGCTGTTCTTTTTTTTTCAAATATCACTCACTACACGAAATATTTTTCACAATGAAAATCTAAAACACAAACATCATGATTCATTTTATATATTTTTTTTTGTTAATTTTTACCACCAACTCCATTCAGTCAGCAAGGCAGTGAGGCAGGCAACCAGCCAGCCAGTCATCCACTCGCTCATATATTTTTTTTTTTTGCAACCATCCATCCAACGTTCGTTCACTCGTTCGTTGCAATAATGAAAAATCCTGACAAAAGCTGACTTAAAAATAAATCGCGGTATACATGGCCATTGATGTGAGAAAATTGCATATGAAATTTAAAGTGTGCATTCGTCGTTATTAACACAATCTTCTATAACGACATAAAGCAGCAAAGTTTTTTTGTTTTTTGAAACTACAAATATTTTACACTGTGCTGCTGAAAAAAAAACTGGCTTTGTTGTAGTAGGCTTGGTTGTAGTTGTTGTTGTTGGCTGTTTGATATGTTCGAATATAAAAATATGTACACAAAATTAAATCACACATACCCCTGCAGGAGTGATATAAATTTTATAGTTTCATTGAAAGGGGGCTAATACGAATATTTAGACACACTTCGGTATTAAACTAATATAGAAGTGAACTTCGCTGTTTGAAGGCATCGGACAAATTTAATTTATTGTCATTGACTTGATTTTTGAGATAACGTAAGATTGAACTGCAGTCATCCTAACATTTACACGCTGATGGCAAGTTAGCAAAAAAACTCAAATCCCAGTTGGATCTGATATGACTGCAGGACAAAGCCCCGATGTAAAGTCGATCCCCTAAACGTGATGAATGTTTGCGAAACCGTCTTTTTTTTCATATTATCTTGGATTGAATCGATCTTGTTCAGCTTATGATCCTAACGGCAAGTTCCTCTAGTTAAAGTGTAACCAGGACAGTCAGTTATATCTGACCCAATGTTAAATAAGCCAAGTTTGAGTTGCAAGCTTCAGGTTCTCCTGCATATTTTCACGACTGCGCGATAATTTCGACGATCCAGCGTTCCACTGGCGTCGTCACAGTTATTATGATTTATAATTCTTGGTCCTCCTGCACATTGTGGAAATTTCATTGATCTAGAGTATCGAATGATTGTTTCGGATATGGCTTTATCTTTGATCTACGGCACATTTTACAAATCCGAAGCCTAATTCTGATGCGAAATTCCAGAAGTTAAAATCTTCGCCGTCCAGGTATGGGCATATGCCCAAATCCTGATGCAAAGTAAAAGTATTCGAAGTAAGTCTTAGTTGTTGTTACCAGCAAGTCTCAAAAACCTGGATCAGTTCGATGCAAATTCCCCATGCTTATCGACAGAATCAATATTTTCGTCTATCTCTAACTTGGTGAATGTTTTCCAAACTGTTGGTTTCACATCTTGGATAGAATGGATCATGTTCAGATGCTGATTTTGGTACTGACGTCAAATTCCTCTAGTTAAAGTCTACACAGCACAGTTTGTTGAATGTCACAGCACAGTGTGTTAAGTCGGAAAAAGTCTTTGTTCTTATAAACTTCAAACCTCATGTTCTCCTACATATTTTCACGACAGCAGTGACAATTTAGAAGATTGTCGTCACAAATCTGACATTGACTGGCAACAAGAGGATCATGCACAGATGCAGACCCTATTGCTAATGGGAAATTTCCCAAGCTAAAGTCTAGGAAAATCCAAGAAAGTCGTCCGCCCTTCAAGAAGACGTCTGCCTCGCGTTCTACTGCTCTAGTTTTGTGCTACATTTTCTGCCAATCGGGTATTTCTCTTTCAGACTCTAAAAAGTCTAGACATCATATTAACGAAGTTGCACAAGTTTTGATGGATTTTGTATATGTTCAGGTCATGAAAGAATGTGTTCTTGCGATTTATAAGGGCTGTGATTTCCTGCTCATCATGGATATTTCGCCGATCTAGAGTATACTTATCGTGCAAGGTCGAGTGATTGCTATCAAAAGAATGCTTTTGCATTAGTCCGAAGCCTTAATTTGATGCCAAACTCCACAAGTTAAAATCTCCGATATCCTGGTTCTTAAGTTTAATATTGTATGGACATATACTTAAGTCCCGTAGCAAAGTAAACGTCTTCGAATGTCTTAGTTCTTGTTACTAGCAAGCCTCAGGTTCTGTACAGATAGAGACTCAAATCCCGAATGTAAATTTGCCATGTTTATGTGTGCGAAAGTGCAAGTTTTGCACTTAAATTAATCGATTGTCTTAAGCTATGCTTTGCCGATCTAGAACCCCTTTCGTCTATGTTAATAGATTGATTTCTCAATCGAATTTTCTGAAATTAGGATATCAAATGTTCCATTGAGTTTTTAGTTTTAGATAACAAAAAGAGATCTTTTCTTTTTAATACTTCATTTAAGAAAAGGAATATGTTTCCAAACGAAAATACCATCAATTTATCAACTATTTCCATCCTCTCCTCTGCACAAGTTTTACGCAACCGTATTAGGAATAAAAAGAGATTGATTTTAGAACCTCAAAGTTCTAATCTTTCTCATGCTTTATTTACAACCGATTATAGAGCTTAAAAAATTTGTTTGAGATCAGACCTTCAGAATCTTCAAAATCCTACCTTTGGCAATGTTTTAAGATTGAAATTATTGATTTCTATCGTTTTATAACGAAGTCTATGTGATCAGAGACTGATTTAAAATCTTAAATTGTGATCATATTCATGCTTTATCAATCGGTTTAAAGAAAGAGAAGATAAAGTTTTACTTAAACTCAAGAGAAATGCCAATTTTTTTCATGACCGGAAAAGACAACTTACACCTTCCTATGGAGGTTAGAAGGTCTCAAACATGAGAGATCTTTAATATTTTACTTTGTCATATATCTTATTTATTATTCTTTACAATTTAAGTCCAATGATATAAATTGAACCCAAATTATAACAACCTTTTGGCGATCTGATGCCGAACTATACCCCAGCTATTCAGATTGTCGTCCTTGCCATATTAATTGACGGAAAAATCAACTGATTTCGATATAAAAACCACAATTAATACTTTTCTACCACCACAAAACCAATGATATTGTTATCCAATTGAAGGTGCACAATATCCATATATATCCTCTTGTCAATAGTTATCCACTATCGCAGTTGCACTGTAGGGCACAACCGCAATAACCGAACAAAGAAACAGGGGAAAAAACGTAGTGATCATAGATTTTATTATTACAACTGACAGCTTCAGAAATGTTTCATGCAGAAAATTGTGCAAAAATATTAAATGTTATTTAACAAAACGTTCAGTTATGATGGAGAAGAGAAGCCTTTTTACAATTCCCACTTCCATACATGTGTTTTATTTATTAAAGAGTTTTGTTAATTTTTTTGTACAAAATTAATTTAAACATGGTTGAACACCTAAACATGTGAATTCTTTGAATACAAAGTCTCCGAAATTTATAACATTTCCACAAAATCGTTAAATTTGTCGTGAAAGGATAAATATTAGGATATCAGGACTCGTTGTAGTCTATATATTGATTTACTCTTTCTATGTTCTTTAAGTATTTCATCATTTAATTAAATATTTCCTTTCCATCCTTCTAGGTACAAAATCGAAGTAGCCGGCAAGAGTCTTCCCTCCTTAACCAATTTGGATAAGGGTCGTTATGGCGTTATAGTCTTTGAAAATCTCGATAAATATTTGCACATGGACAAATGGAATCGTGAACTCTTAGACAAATACTGTCGCGAATATTCCGTAGGCATTGTGGGTTTTGTAAGTCCAAGTGAAGAGACTCTAGTGGCGGCACAACTTAAAGGATTTCCTCTCTTTGTTCATACAAATCTAAGACTACGTGATGCCAGTTTAAATCCGGCTTCACCTGTACTGCGTTTAACTAGGGCTGGTGAAACAGCTTGGGGTGCCTTACCCGGTGATGATTGGACGGTTTTCCAACATAATCATTCCACATATGAGCCCGTCGAATGGGCTCAGCGTAATAGTCAAGATTATCCTTCAGATGCTGGCGGACAAGTCCATCTGCCTTTGTCCACCGTCCTACAAGATCATGGTCAATATGATGGCATAAAGCGCATATTCTTTGGCAGTAGTTTGAAATTTTGGCTTCATCGCTTACTGTTTCTAGATGCCCTATCCTATTTAAGTCACGGTCAATTAAGTTTGAACTTGGAGCGCATGATTTTAGTGGATATAGATGATATATTTGTGGGTGAAAAAGGCACTCGTCTTAGGCCCGATGATGTTAGAGCTTTGGTGGCTACACAAAAAATTATAGCTGGCATGGTGCCTGGTTTTCGCTTTAATTTAGGCTTCTCAGGGAAATACTATCATCATGGTACTAGAGAGGAAAATCTGGGTGATGATTTTCTACTGCAAAATGTTCAAGAATTCAATTGGTTTTCACACATGTGGAAACATCAACAACCGCATTTGTATGATAATGTCACACTACTCATGTCGGAGATGCAACTTAATCATGCCTTTGCCGTGGAACATAACATACCCACGGACTCGGGTTACTCCATATCGCCACATCATTCAGGTGTCTATCCCGCCCATGAAATTCTCTATGAAGCCTGGAAGAAAGTTTGGCATATAAAGGTGACCTCAACAGAGGAATATCCACATTTAAGACCGGCCCGCTTAAGAAGAGGTTTCATACATCGCAACATAATGGTGCTGCCGCGTCAAACATGTGGTCTCTTTACCCACACCATGTACATAGATCGTTATCCTGGAGGTAGAGATAAACTGGATGAATCCATTCAAGGTGGTGAACTGTTCCAGACTATAGTCTATAATCCTATTAATATCTTTATGACACACATGTCAAACTATGGTTCCGATCGTTTGGCTCTGTACACCTTTCAGTCGGTGATTAAATTTCTACAATGTTGGACCAATCTCAAATTGGCCTCAGCTCCTCCCATCCAATTGGCCGAAATGTACTTTCGTCTACACCCCGAAGAGGTAGATCCCATATGGGGTAATCCCTGCGATGATCCCAGACATCGTAAGATCTGGTCGAAAACCAAAAGTTGTGATTCCCTGCCAAAATTCTTAGTTATTGGTCCACAAAAAACTGGCACCACCGCTTTGTATACATTCCTCTCAATGCACTCGGGCATTGTTAGCAACATACCCAGTCCAGATACTTACGAAGAGGTACAATTCTTCAATGGCAATAATTACTATAAAGGCTTAGATTGGTATATGGACTTCTTTCCCGCCGAAGTGAATACCACTGTAGCACCCAATTCCAGTCCACGTTATATCTTCGAAAAGAGTGCCACCTATTTTGATGGCGAAATGGTGCCGAAACGCGCACACGCTTTACTGCCACATTCGAAAATTGTAACGATTTTAATATCACCAGCTAAAAGAGCTTATTCATGGTATCAGCATCAGAGGGCCCACGGTGATACTATTGCAAATAATTATAGTTTTTATCAGGTAGGTAACGAAAAAAACTTGATTTGTTTTATCCATTAAACACTTAAAATTCTACAAATTTAATTGGTCTTTTTTAAAAAGGACAATTTATTTACTAGTGAAAAAGAATGTAATTTTAATTATTTGAAGTAGTTTTATATTGTTATTTTACACCCAAAGATAGAGTAAATATTTATGTACGTAATGTTTAGAGAAAAAATTGTGTAAAAAAAAAAAAAAAAACAGAAAACAAACCCAAAATTAAAAGTACAATTTAATAATGATACCAAAAAAGTTAAAACAACACTTACGTTAAAATCAGATCATTAAAGGAATGTTTTCATTTATGTTACAAGAAGGGCCTGGATAAACTTTCACAAACAAGTTCTTAACGCCAAACTGATCAAAGCTTTCGATCAATAAGACTGTAATCAAGCTATAACAACTAATTATTTTGGCATACCTATAATCCTTTTATAATCTATCAACAAATCCTTTTAAATAACATTGTCCAAAACAATTCTCTCAACTTCTTAATTTTCCCCAAAATTGTCCAATAAATTTCTCTCATTATCAACTCCCCTCCACCTCTTTCACTATGCTTTCGGAAAATTCCAATAAAATTCAACTTGTTAATTCTTATACAATCATTATTCTGATGTAATTAATTTACTTTGAATGGATTTCCTTTTTATCCTCATTCCCACATTTCTCACATTGATAGAGACTAACAATAACGAAAAAACTCTTTGCCACAAATTTGTGGAATAATTGAGAAAACTTTGTTACAACAAAACCGCAGTAGCAGCAGCTTTTCTAAAGAATATAATACACAAAAAAAAACATGGTCAAGTGTATACTTTTGATGAATAATCAGACCTTCTTAAAGGTGGCTTCACTAGGGGGGTAGTGAGGTATTCGACAAGAGATTTGTCTTCTTACTCACAGTACGAT